CATTAGGCCTCGCGCCGTCTTCCCTCGGCCTAAATTACTTTTAATTGCCCGACGTACAAATTAGAAGTTACCTGGGGTTTTTACTTTAATTACATTTTTCTTCCTGAACAAGAAAAAAAAAAATGCAACATTTGTGAATGAGGAAACAGGAAAAAAAATTGAGCTTTTGGTTTCCATAGCAACGTTAAATGACCCCCTCTCCCCCACCCCCAAACAGAATCCAGAGCGATTGACGTCATCAGAAAGCCGAAAGAAACGTAATTATAATTACGCTTTTATGCTTGACGGAGTTTCTTTTTAGAAAGGTTGGGTTCCCTGCGCTGATATATATATATATATATATATATATATATATATATATATATATATATATATATATATATATATATATATATATATATATTCTCACACACACATATATATATATAATATATATATAATATATATAATATATGTTAGATATATATATATCTATATATATATATATCTATATATATATATATATATATATATATATATATATATATATATATATATATATATATATATATATATATATATATACATTTATATATATACAGCCCAACTTTGTGGCACTTTTAAAGAAAGTTGCTTATAATCTTGTCGTATGCGGAAGTTGTTGCATATGCTTATGGAATTGGTAGACCTAATACACTTCTTCTGATTTTAGAACGGCTGATAGTATAAGTGGAGCATAAGTATAGATTACAATGTTATCACACTTTAAAAACACTAATTTAAAAAAAAAAAACTGTGTTAAAAAACCTTAACGAACACATAGAAATATTTTATAAAATTTATTGGCCTAGTAAGAGTTAATGAAACATAGTAATCGAATAAATTAATACAAACATGTTTGCTTCTATCCGCGTTGAACAGAGATGTTAAAATGTACAATCAAATTACACTACACATTGAATATACCCGTTCATACCTTGAGATATGATACGGCCGTCACGTGGATATGCTAAAAATAGCTTATGCTGTGTAAAAATAACTCAATGACGCAAGATTGGTTTACCAAATCACGCGCATGCATAAAACAATGAGTATTCTTTCAGAAGTAATGCGATTCGAAAGTCTTATCTTCCCTTTCCATTAAAATCACTAATTAAATTATTGTTAAAATAATTAATTTTACATTAAGTTAAAACAAATGCATATATAAATAACAATTTTCAGTCCTGAAACAAGATTTAAATGTAAAATAGTTTTCTTTTAATATTTAATTCTGCATAGCTTTAAAATTGAGGAATTAGTAGCTTCAATTTGTTTTAATTTAGAAATAAAAATACAATCCCTCTTTAGCATACCTTGACGTGGCCGTTTCTAGTACTAATCTATTGTTTAAAAAACTACCTAATACTAATAAAACATGCATACGATTAAAATATGTACATTCAAAAAGGTTTGTGTTATAAAATGATGACATTGCTGGTAGAAAATCCCAATCACAGATAACATAAATATCATTTTTACCACAAAGGATGTATGATTAATGTTATACATAGTGTAATGCAACACACATATAAGTATATTTACATAAACAAAGTTTTTAAATGTAGGCATATAAGTAAAGGTCTTAAAATACGTGTATGTTTATGTATGTTATCTCATTGCTAAGCTGCATTAAATTTAAATATTGCAAGCAGTTTTTTATACACATACAAATAATCGATTCGTATGGGTGTTTTTAAACTATTTTTGGCTAATGTTTGCTGGCTGATTATTTTAAACGCAGAGGTATGTTCCAAGTTTAACAAAATTGTCATTTCATTTCACATTGTCCTATCATTACCACTTAATACTAACCAGATGCAGCATCTAATTTCTGGACAGATCTAGTCACACATAGAGGCAGCCAATTAGATGTAAATATATATATATATATCCTAATATATAAAAGTCCATGTGCGCTCTTCTCTCTCTCTCTCTCTCTCTGTCTGTCCGCAAAATATTTTCGCCGGACATCACGTCAGAATCGGCAGCGATATATGGATACCTTTATACGGACTTTTGTTGAAAATAATATGTTAGATGTTTTAAATGTATAACCACAATTTTATTTAAAGAAGAAAAATAAAAAATAAAGGCGTATTCGAATGTAGAGAAACAGTATTATTTATGCAACCGGAAAAGTGTTTAAACTTGGGACAAGAGCGCATTTAACAATGACGTCGCTTATTGTTTACACTAAAAAAAGAACACGCAACTGATGTCATCTTCCGAGTTTAGAATTTTAAAAAATGAACTATTTCATTCAAATATGATTTAGAGCTATGTACGCTATGAAATGTAGACTATTCAATACGATTTTCTCGGCCTAAACTTTAAAAAATTATTTTATCTATTTGGATTCTAGATCTAGAGATTCTAGATCTAGATATTGATCTAGATCTAGATATTCTAGATCATCTAGATCTAGAGATTTTAGATCATATAGATCTAGAAATTCTAGATCTAGATGATCTATAAAGCTAAGTTGTCGGGTGCCCGATAGGGCACTTCCCGGCGCCGCAGGCGCTTCAAATTTGGCAGGATCTTGCCTTGGGGCGACAGAACACGGGGGCCGGTTGGCCGAAAAGTCTACGATGAGGGGGTCAAAACTGACCTCGACTGACCGGCGCCTTATATGGGCGAATTAATTAAGCATTCAAATTCTCAATGTTTTCGAAAGCCTAAGCGAAGCTGGGCAGCATGCCTAGTATATATATATATATATATATATATATATATATATATATATATATATATATATATATATATATATATATATATATATATATATATATATATATATATATATATATATATATATATATATATATATATATATATTTATATATCCATACATACGTGTGTGCTGTGCGTGTTGCTGTGTGTAAACTTAAAAGATGAGGTAATGAGGTAAGAATGATGTATATGACTGGTATTTAGCGTCCACATATATACAAGGAGGTACACATTAATACAATGTTTGTGGTGTGATCACATCTATCTAAATATCACGGTAACATTCAAACAGAGGAATCGTCACAGATGGCGCTCGGTGGAAGAGTGCAATATTTTTTGGATGGGGGTGGGGGGTGTGGGTGACATGGAAGGGTGTAGTGGGGGTGAAGTAAGTTGTATTTTTAATCCCTCTGAAACGAGTACTCAAAAACTGGGAAATATTTTTTTTAATTTATAATCTATTAAAGGAACAAAACATTAAAACTATCCACTTTATTAAAAGTGATTTTTGGTACATAATGAATGTGACAGTTATAAGTAGTTTTTTAATTTAAAATTTCAACAAATTTTAAGTTTATTTTTAATTCTAAACAGAAGTATCTAAAATTTAAAAACAAATTGAACCAAGAATTAAAAACAAATAGTGAAATTTAATAATCAAAACACTCTACTTTAGTAGATTACTTGGGTAAAAAAAAAAGCAAGATCTTATCATAAAAAAACAAGTGATTGGCTTTAAATTAAATGAGGTAAATTTGAACACGTATTTCCACCAAAGTTTATTCCAGGCATCGCTTCGGGGGTGGGGGGGGGGGGGGGGGGGGTGAGCAGTTTAATCTTTAGATGTTACCGGTTATCCCGCGACCGAAAGTAATAGAAAAATATCTTTTTTAAAAAATGTGTTTATAAAATAAAATAATATCATATCAATAAAATATTTTGATTTTCTCCATTAAATAAGTGTATTGTAAACGGTTCTGTTTATTTTGATTGGTTGAAAGGGTTTTGAAACCCGTGTAAAATTTAGCGTTACAAAAACCAAGAGCAATATTGATGTAAATGGAAACAGAGTTGTACAGGTATACATTTTGCGGGGGGGGGGGGGGGGCAGTAGCGTACGCAGGGGGGGAGCAGGGGGAGCGGCCGCTCCCCCTCTGGCCATTTTTAGCAAAGTGGCGCCTTTTTGGAAACTTTTTAAACTCAAAGTTTTAAACATTGTAATTTGTTAAAAAATTATCTTTGGTCGGCACATTTGAAACGTAAATCTCTGTGAATATTGTTCTTGCAATTACCAGTAAAATGTGTGTGAGCAATAAAGTACAGTGATCTAGCCCATACCTTCTCATTATGTCAAAAAATTATCTTTAAAGAACACTAAAAGTCAGTAGCTAATTAAAATGTGCATGATCGGAAATGTAAGAACGATACTTTAGTTAGATGTAGGCTATTATTCCGAGTCTTTTACTTCTAAATTTAAAAGCTGGATTTTATACCAACTCTGATTTAAAAAACTTTCATTATGCTGTAAAAGTTTAGCATTTTTGATGACAATATATTTAATTCTGATTGTAGATAAAATATTTAAAAATAAAACGAATAAGTGTTAAACTACTTTATTAGATTCTTTAGTAGTTATTGATTTGTTTAGATATTTATAATAAAATATGTAGACATATACATATTTATATTAAGATATTGATTATTGCCCCTTTTCGCTAGTCTTAATAGATGTCCCAGGAATTATTATGCATCTTTTTTTACAAGGATTACGAAACAGATTATGCCGTTTATTGTTTTTGGTTCTAGTGTGATTATATATGTGTATATATATAAATATATATATATATATATATATATATATATATATATATATATATATATATATATATATATATATATATATATATATATGTGTGTGTGTGTGTTTAGTATGAAACCATTTTTTGTTTGTTTCATCGGCCTACATTGTGTTTTTTTTTATTTCTTCAGAGTGCTAATTTAAATTTATTTTACATCACATCGAAGAAATATCATACAGCTAATATATATATATATATATATATATATATATATATATATATATATATATATATATATATATATATATATATATACACACTTATATAAAAGATATTACACATTCGGCGCCTTTTTTTTGCTATTTCCGCTCCCCCTACACCGAAAACCTGGATACGCCTCTGGGGGGGGGGGGGGGGGTGTCGGTGTATAAAACAGCTCGTAAAATAAAATAAATAGGAAGACGAATCAAACTGTATCTCGCTTTATCAATCAGAACTGGCACAGGCTTGTTTGTTTTAATTGTTACTAACGTGTTACTATAATTACAGCTATATTTAGGAATACTCTAACCATTAATTAAAATTGCTTCCTACACTTTGTTCTTCACAGTTAACAAAAAAATCATCTAAATATAACCAAGTTTAATTTTAGAGTCATAACGACGCTTCTAAATGAATCTCCACTCCTACGCTTCAAATCAATTCATAATTTTCTGTTTGAAATTGCTAAATTATACTCGAAAAAAATATCGCGGTAGAAATTAAATCCCATCCCTCTCTAATTATAATTCTATATTGGTTTATGGATTTATAGGCGCGTTTTACATAATCAAAACAAAAAATGGATCAAGGTAACCGTAATACTTGAAATGTTTTCATCTTTGTCGTTCACGCCGATAGGAGTTGGGTAGTCCGTCATTGCACGACAACTGGACTTAAACACCGGAAGCAGACGTCTACAAGTAGACCGGAAGCTCTTTCTTGGGCAGGTGATCGGGTACTTCCGTCGGTGTGATCATGGCGTACAATCGCTGTAGAGAACAGACACGGGGGGGGGGGGGGATTCAGTTATTCAACACGATGGTATTATTTTCAACTTCCTTCTTCAAAACATATTTCTTTTCAATAGAAAAGTGTATTTAGAATGTATACTTTTAGAAACGTCAGCAGGTCCAGACGAAGCTATGATTTTTATTAGAATCGTTACTGATCCTACAAAACCAACCCTAACAATGAAACATTTACTCCATGAACCAACCACCCACAATACTAACAAGCCATAAACCTTACCAGTGTTTCTTCCAGACTTTTTTTTCTCCGGGGGGGGGGGGCGCTCTGCCGCCCCCCCCCCCCCTTCCCAAAAATGCCTAGAAGAAACTCTGAAGCTTACCCATCAAATCAACGAAGCATCCACTTACCCAGCCAACGAATTATGCTTCCTTACCACCCAACCTACCAACCAACAAATCAACCCCACTAATAACCACCACACTTCCATACCTACTAACAAACTATCCAAGCTAACCCTAACATGACATAAAACCAACCAACCACACCCCTACCAACCACCCATCCACCCAAACATCCAGCCCACTAACCAACCACCAACCACCAACCAACCAACTAACCATGCGCCCTATCATCCAACAAACCGCCTACCCTATCCTACCAACCGATCAACAAATCAATCCCCCGGCCAACCAACTAGCCAATCACCCCTCTTACCAACCAACAATCCCTCCCCCGAAACCCCACCATAACATAAAAACCAAACAAACCACCAACCTCCTTGAGATTGCCTGGTGTCCTGAAGAACGACACCACGATGTAGACGGGGATGCACATGATAGACGTGCACACCAGCAGCCAGCCCAGGGTCAAGGCCCAATGAGGGTAAACATAGGCGCCATATTGAGGGGGCGGGGAATCCATGATTGACAGGATAAACAAAGTCTATTGAAAGAAGAAAAAAAATCATTTTTTTAATTCCATAATATTGACAATATTTAATAGGGCTTGTAAATCTACGGTCTCGAAATCTACACGCTGCATAGTACGAGAACGAGAAGTAGTGACCTAAATACAAGCCCTACATTTTTTTTTAAATCTAGATCTACATATTGTAAAAAAAAATATAAGGTATCTGTTGGTATGTCATAATGTTATAAATATTTGCTTAAAATTCGACAACATTGATGCCAAGTGGATATAGCGTGATAATGTGACGGAAGCTAGGACGAGTCCACGTTGTGGGGATGGAGGGAGGGGGGGGGGGTGATGGCGGCTCGCACGAGTCCACTCTAAATTGAACTCATCCTTCACATGAATCTAATTCTTGAAACATTATTAATGGTGGGAAAAGGAAACAGGCTATTTGTAAACATCCCACCTCTCTCTCCACAAACCACCACGAATGTCGACCCCACCCCCCTCCCCTCCTTATTAATGCGCATTCTTTTGCTCGTTTGTTTTGTCCAATGTTGTTTTAAATGCGTAGATGTTCAAATGCTCCCTCCCCCTTCACACACCCTACCGAGTCATGTTTAGAAAAGCTCAAATTAAAGAAGATTATATGCCGTGCATAGATGATATTTTACAAGCGCACCCGTCTCACGCGTTGCTGCGATCTAGCTCTACACACAGAAAGGCGCAATATTGTAAGGGTTTCATCAGCGCTTTACTAATGGTGTTTTTTTTAGAGGTGTGACCGTGTTTTCTAAAAAGAAGCAATTTAAATGTAAACAAAACAGGCTGTACGTTTCTTTGATCTTAGTAATTGGACCGCAGTTTTTCGAAACTACCGCCCAGACGCCCCAGGGCGTGCTGTATTTTAATGTTCATTAATCACCCTCAGTAATATTGAGATAAAATACACATCGGCGATCGCCCTAATAATTGTCAGGGGCGTCGCGGGGCGCTCTCAGGATCCACGGGTTACATTACTAGCGGGCACACCTGGTGCAGTTTGACAGTTGAATCAATAGTACTCCTGACCCCTTGTGCATGACGCCCAATCAATGGGTCCCAGGTGCTAAGATAGTCGCTAGGGAACTCCGAACGCCAATCGCAAACTACTGCCGTGGCGCCGCCCCTATTAAAAGTTTTTCTTTTCGCAGAAACCTGCCCATGAGTTTTCTCATTAGCTTCTAAAAGTTTATTGGCGATCGGATGAAAGGTGCAGAAATACATCAAAGAGAGACACACCCAAAAACAGATATTATTTTCTATTTATCTATAAATAGAGAGAGATGGAGTAGAGTTTATCCGTTTCTTGACCTGAAGAGAAGACATGGTCAGCTCTAAGCCCAGCCGCCTTAACTTTCACTGACGAGAATAAGGTACCCATAAAAGCTGGTTGGACTGATGTTAAAAAACGAACTAGAAACTTTCCAGTTAGCAGTCGAGCTCTCTACCCCCCCCCCCCCCCCCCCCGACCACGCCGTCCCATACAGCACTCGATAATCTATTTTTAAATGACCTACCAACAAAAACACGGGACTGATGTAGGTCCAGGTGATGCGCCAGAAAGGTCCTGGGGGTGAGCCTAGCATAGATTCGATATCTTTGCTAAACCTGTCCACACCTGCGGCAAATCAAATTCAACAGTGAAAATATGACTTGCATTATTCCGTGACAGATATACCTAAATAAATGACCTAACTAACTGATATAGCTATTTAACCTATTTTACTTAACTAAGTATTTAACCTATTTTACTTAACTAAGTGACAGATATACCTATATAAATGACCTAACTAACTGATATAGCTATTTAACCTATTTTACTTAACTAAGTATTTAACCTATTTTACTTAACTATGTGACAGATATACCTATATAAATGACCTAACTAACTGATATAGCTATTTAACCTATTTTACTTAACTAAGTGAAAACTTTAAGTTACCTAACGAACAGTCCGAACTGACTGGCAAACCTGATAGACCTAATTAAACTACTTTACTCTCTGACCTAAATAACTGACCCAATTAATTTATCTAACTAACCGACCTATCTTATTTACTGAACTAAATAACTAAATGACCTTGCAAATGCCCCTAAATACCATACCTAAATAACTAACTGACTGACCTAACTAATTGACCTAACCGAGTGACCCAACTACTGACCTAGCTGACCTAATTAACTGACCTAACTAGCTGACCTAACTGGCTGACGTAAATGACCTATCTAAGTGACCTAATTAATGACCTAACTGGCCTAATTAACTGACCAAACTAGCTTACCTACCTAACTGACTGACTTAACTAACTGTCCTGACTGACCTAACTAATGACCTAAGCGACTGACCCAACTACTGACCTAACTACTTACCAAACTACTGACCTAACTAACTGACCTATCAAACTGACCTATCTAAGTGACCTAACTGACTGACCTAATTGACTAACCTAAATGACCTAAGTGACCTAACCAGCTTACCGTAGATCCACGAGACAGCGACCGCTTCTAAGAACACGACGAGTAAAATGGAAATTGGCGCCCCATACGTGTCCATCAGTTGCACCACATAAATACCACCCTAGTAATAGAAGGCACAAACATAAATACCACCCTAGTAATAGAAGGCACAAACATAAATGCCACCCTAGTAATAGAAGGCAGAAACATAAATACCACCCTAGTAATAGAAGGCACAAACATAAATACCACCCTAGTAATAGAAGGCACAAACATAAATACCACCCTAGTAATAGAAGGCACAAACATAAATACCACCCTAGTAATAGAAGGCACAAACATAAATACCACCCTAGTAATAGAAGGCACAAACATAAATACCACCCTAGTAATAGAAGGCAGAAACATAAATACCACCCTAGTAATAGAAGGCACAAACATAAATACCACCCTAGTAATAGAAGGCAGAAACATAAATACCACCCTAGTAATAGAAGGCACAAAACATAAATACCACCCTAGTAATAGAAGGCACAAACATAAATACCACCTTCTTGATAGAAGGTACACCCATAAATACCACCACTAACATAAATACTATTTTCTACATAGAAGACAAACATAAATACCACCTTTTAGAAAGAGGGCACAAACATAAATACCAAGCTCAAAATAAAATACAAAGCTTAAATACTATAGATAGAAGACGCACACAATAAGACACAAATGACCAATAAATAACCACCTCTACGACACAAATGACCATCAAATGACCACCACTACGACACAAATGACCAACAAATGACCACCACTACGACACAAATAACCAACAAATGACCACCACCACTACGACACAAATGACCAACAAATGACCACCACAACTACGACACAAATGACCACCACTAAGACACAAATGACCAACAAATGACCAAAAATGACCAACAATAGACCCACAAATGACCACCACCACTACGACACAAATGACCAATAAATGACCACCACCACTAAGACACAAATGGCCAACAAATGACCAACAAATGACCAACAAATGACCACCACCACCACTACACAAATGACCACCACTACGACACAAACGACCAACAAAAGACCAACAAATGACCACTACCACACAACACTCACGTAAGTTGTTGTGACCAGCGCCCCCATGAAGCACCAGACCATGAGACCGGCCACAAACAGCTCCCTGTGCTTACGTAGAACGGTCCACTCGTCCAATATACCCGTGATAATAGCCTCAAGTCCACCAAACTGTCGGGGGAAAAAAAAGAAAAAGATGTAGTAAACATAGTCTTAGTTCATCAAGTCTAAACGTACAATGTCGTTTGTAAGTTAACACTGCCAAAAGATGTAGTAAACATAGTCTTAGTTCAGCTAGTCTAAACACACAATGTCGTTTGTAAGTTAACACTACAAAAAGATGTAGTAAACATAGTCTTAGTTCAGCTAGTCTAAACATACAATGTCGTTCGTAAGTTAACACTACAAAAAGATGTAGTAAACATAGTCTTAGTTCATCAAGTCTAAACATACAATGTCGTTCGTAAGTTAACACTACAAAAAGATGTAGTAAACATAGTCTTAGTTCATCAAGTCTATTCATACAATGTCGTTTGTAAGTTAACACTACAAAAAGCTATAGTCCACATAGTCTTAGTTCATCAAGTCTATTTATACAATGTCGTTTGTAAGTTAACACTACCAAAAGATGGCAGTTGTTTACTGTAAACAGCATCCTGTGGATTTAAAGATTAATAACTATGGGGGGGGGGGGTTATTGTATTAGTTATGATGTTTCTGTTATTGGTTGAAAAGAAAGTGGGGAAAAAAATCTCAAATTATTGTAGCAGTTTTAATGCGGTTTTTACTGCAACAGAAGTATAACTTCCTGGGAGGGGGGGGGGGGGGGGCAACTACACACTAGTCTAGATAAGGGCAGGGTTTGTGGTTTACTCATGGCAATGCTATTTAGGGGGTGACACCATAACGAAAAAAAGTACGGTTAAAATGTTTTCTCCAGTGAAATAAAATTGTAGGGGAGAGGTATTACATTTGAGGCGTACGCATGCAGAGGCGTAGCGATGGGGGGGGGGAGGGGGGGGACATATGTCCCCGGGCGCCGACCTTAGGGGGCGCCAAAATGGGTTGTAAAAACAAATTAAAATGTCAATTTAGCTGCATTTTTTGGAGTTTGTGGGGGTGCAAATCGAAATGTTGAGGGGGGGGGGGGTACAAATCGAAAAGTTGAGGAGGGGCGCAAATGGAAAATTTGCTCCCGAGGGGGAGTTTGTCCCCGGGCGCCGGGAAGGGTCGCTACGCCCCTGTACGCATGTTTTCAGGCTAGGGGGTGCGGCTCGTCAAGAAAAGGCGTCATGGAATGGAATGCTATTGTTTCGCTGTTGTGTAAAAAAAAACATTCAAAAAGTACTCATTAAAGACTCATTTAAGTACTCATTAAAGACCAAAACAGATCAAAACATAATTTAAAACACAAAACAATTTATAACACAACACAACACAAAACAAATATATACAACTCAAACAAAAACATATTACAGGGGAAAAAACGCAACACGGCCAGTTTTGTAGTCAATATTTAAAAAAAAAATAGTTTGACGTGATGGAATATTAAAAAGATATAAGACAAGCGAATTACATTAGGGGAGGTAATCACTCTCTTAAAAACGATATAGGCTTTTATAAGTCGACACTCATTATTGTAATCTTTCAAATTCAACCAAATTTACTAATTCTTTATTATAGCAATTTATTACGATTCGTTTGTACAAACTGTTTTGTCTACAATTGGAATCAAATATGCTATTATTATAATGCTAAAACATTAAACCATACAATTTTTTGTAAATGTGGCTTTTATATTAAAAAAGCATTTTTTAAAGTTTTATTACGTCGATTTTACTTTCTCGTATATACGAAGTGTAGAAAAAGTATTGTAATCGTGCACAAAAATCACTTGACATTTTAACAATTTTCACCGTATTACACCTAAGTCCTTCATCACATCCGAAGTATAGAGGACTTATTTTCATCGGGCAAAAATTATCAATCCAGATTTATCAAAATTAAGAGGTTTTATGCGTAACCCAGTCTGAAAAACTGGGCTTTGTAATTCTGTCCGTATGTCTGTGTGTCTGTATGTGTGTCTGTATGTAAACACGATTACTTGAGTACCTTTACAGCTAGGTTGATGAAATTTCATATATAAGTATTTTATCAAAATCGTAGATCCATATCAACTTTTGAGCGATTTCCGATAACCAGAAGTGGTACTTTTTCTACTTTGAATTTTTCAAAAGGCTATAACTTGAGTACTATTACAGATAGATAAATGAAATTTCACATGTAAATAAAAGATCTAATTTTCTACCTTCTGTTAAATTTTGAGTAATTTCTGTTGACCGGAAGTAGTAATTTACGCTACTTCCGATTTCTCAAAAAACCAATGTAAATTTTTAAAATACTAATAATATTGCGCACTATTATGCACTTTTTTATTTTACGTTCACTTGTTGTGCAATTCTTTTGTCTACGAGATTTTATTCTATTTTTAAAACTTTAAGTTTTTTAAATGGATTAAAAATCATGTCTATAGCCCGAGTTCCCATCCCCTGTTGTTTTATTAATACTAATAGTTTCGCTGTCTGTGTATCTATCTGACAAGAACGCTATAGAGAAAACACAAGCAATTTAAAAACATGCACAGTAAGACGGAAACGAAATATGACGTCACATTTAGCATATAGTAGAAAATAGTATCAAGCCGGAGAGTGCACACAGTAATATGACGTCATTGATTCTCGAGTAAACATTGAATTAAAAAGCCAATTTTGTCTTATCTAAGTGGTTTGCGTTAAGAGTCTCTTAAGAACGTCTGAGCCCCACCACCCCCCCCCTCCCCAACTCGAAAGAAATATCTTCATCGATACTCTATAATAAAATTACCGCCTAATTAATGTGTCTAATCTAAAGAGTGGTTTGCTTGCAGTTTCTTTCATGCAATTATTCGGGTAGTGGTTAAGCGCGACACCAGTGTTTCTTTCAGACATTTTCCTCTCCGGAGGGTGGAACATTTTCTAATTTAAAAAGTGTTTAGCGTGCACAGTTTTTTTTCATGCATCTCTTCCGGTAGGGGCGAAGCCCCGCCCAGGTTCTTCCTTTAGTTTGTTTGATCTACAAATGCGGCCAGTGTTTCTTTCAGACTTTTTCCTCCCCGGCGAGGGGTGGGGGTACTTGAATTTTTTGGGGGGCGGGGGTAGAATTTTCTGGGAGGGGGCGGACACTGGAAAAAGTATATAATTATATTTCGTTGAATGGGACGGTAGACATGTTTTGGGGTGTTTGTGTGTGTGGGGGGTGTTGGTTTTAGTTTAGAGAAAATAGACAGCACTATCAACCTAGCGCCCGTTGTATCCTTCCTCAACGGGCCATTTTTCTCGTATGAGAATATTCGAGAAAGTTTAGGGCAGATCACTCCCGGTTTATTTACTTTCTCTATATATCCTAATCAAACAACAAGCGACACCACTGTTCTTTTCTTTTAATTTTGATTATCCATGTAACTTTTCGGCACATTTTGGAAGTTTGGAATTTTTATTTGAAAGTATTGTAATAGGCTGTTGAAGTGGAGTAAAAATGGAGTCCTGCCGGTTGGCGTTTTTTTAAAACTAAATCTGAATATTCTTATTAAATCTTTTTTTTTTTTAAAGTTAGGAAAGCTACTTTCGCTTTTGGCTTCAAAACAAACTCAAGTTTTAGAATCAGAATTTCATTAATTTATATCTAGAAATAGATCTAGATAGAGATAGAATCTAGGATCTGGATTCTAAATTTATAGATAAATAATTGACTACAGATTTTAATATAGAATCTAGATTCTAGATCTAGAATTTTATTTAGAATACAACCGACTCGTTAGATTTAGTTTTAGTTTAGAGGTAGGGACCGTAGTCTACCTACTACCTACAAGTACAAGAGTAAAGAACTAGATCTAAAGATTCTTTACTAAAGAAGACGTCGTGACGTAAAGTCAAGTGACCAAGTCTAAAGAATTAAAGAACTTTAGTAATTAGATTCTACTTTAGTGTACTGACTTAGTACTAAGTAGCATACTAATTAATATTAATAATACGTTATAGTATGGTCTTTAGTCATACAACTCTATTTGAATAAATAAAGTACTAAAACAAGTTAATTAAAAAAGTCTAGTGACATTTATGCGCAATTTCCTTATGTTATCTAAAAATAGCTCTGAAGTATAATGCTGGGGTGCGTTCAAGCTAGAAGAACGATCGGTTTGTAGGTGTTTATGTAATTTTTAAATTTGTGACCGAACGAGAGGATATTTTTGAAAACTTTTTTCGGCAATATTGTTCTAAATTATGGCAGGAATCGATTGGTACATGTTTCAAGTCGCTAAGTTGTCTGGTTGCCGAGATATGGGCCAAAAACTGAATTTTTTCGAGTTTTTTTTTTGGCTTTTCCGGGAAATACATGAAAGAAACCCGGAATTTTTATGGCCTATGATCATTCTCGTAACTTGCTTAACATAATTGCTTTTGGAACTAGTCATCGATATTGCTTCGTTGAGGAGGAGATACGACTTAAAGCCCGGACACACATTCATCCATACATTCATTCATCCATCCATTCCCAGAAATGACGAGTTAATAAACGCAATTCTCCAGAATGGAAATTGCGCTAAATATTTCATACAACATTTTTTAATAACAAGCTTTTATGTAATAATGCACTAAAAAGTAGAAAATAAATTATTTTTGTTAAAAATAAAATAACACACTACTCTGTAAATAACTATATAGAAAAGCGTGGGTCTTTTCCTAAATATTAGTAAAGGTATCCAATAGATAATAAAGTGACCCACACTTTTCTTTATAGTAATTTAAAGAGTAGTGTGTTATTATATATTTAACGAAATTAATTTATTTTCTACTTTTTTAAATAATTAATTTTTGTAGTGAAACTTGTTTTTAAATTTCTATATAATTAATCTCCGAAAAAGGCGCCAGTATCCTTAGAATGGCCAAAAGGGGAGCGACTGCCCCGCCTGTTCCCCTCCTGCGTACGCTACTGGATAACACCAAACCTGTAATCGCTAAATTATTGGACGAGGGAGGTGGTAGTTGTGGGGGTGACACCCTAAATTACCACACCGGGTGGCACCCTATCTAGTGACGCCATTGATGATGTGTATAAATTAAGTAGCCTAGCAACAACCCGTGTTTGTTTGATGTGATTCTGGTATCTCCCGTAATAGACATGAATAGCTTTTTCCAAACGGTTCGAAATTTTTGATGCCAGAAAGCAAATTCTACAATCAAAATTAAATATTTTATAATATGTGTGTAATAAGTACAAAATTACTTCCGGTTTCATTAAGGCTAGAAATAGTCAAAGAAATAATAATCGCTCTATATATAATTCTCTTCTGGGAGACGCTAGAAAACAAGCTGTAAGCGCGCCTTGCAGTCCCCTCTCTTCTTCACTAGGCATAAATCAACCTCCCCCACCCCCACATATGGTCTGGTGAGCTGTGGTTCACGCTAACTTTTTACAATCATAGAGCCGGGTTTAGTGACTCCTATTAGGGGCAGATAATTTAGTTTGAAACTATTTTAAACTTAGGGGAGGTAATTAAGAGGAGGCTGCTTTCACGGGGGGGGGGGGGGGTAGGGTAGGGGTTGGGGGGAATGAGGGCGAGGGAAAATGATTTTATCGTCCTTAACGACCAACTGATAGTATTTTAAAGCAAATATTTTCAGTGGCAGCATTGGTACTGTCGAATTCACAAATTATGAATTACTGAAAAGTAGAAAATAAAACAACTAAATAGCGGCGTAGCATGGGTCGGCCCGTAGTAGTAATTTAGCAAACGCTTTTATTTTTAAATTTGGATAGTAGAGTCAGGGTGTTGTGGTGATTGGGGGTGTTATATTATTTAATATAAATACAATACTACGTTATATACCATAGATCACTATTGTGTACTTTTATCACGGAAAACAGTTGTTCTGACTTTTATTGTTTTACTCTCACTGGCCATTCCGATTGACTTCAATGAGAGGTTGATGGCAGTTTTTGAAAATATATGAATTGATAAAATTATTCTAAACGGCTTTGCAACGGCTTATATTCGATACAAAAATATAAAAATGAGTGTAATCGATGGTCAGAGTTTCTTCCAGGCATCTCTTCGGGGGCGGGGTGGGGGGGGGGGGGGGGGGGAAGAGAGTCTACCGCCCCCCCCCCCCCCGAACTCAATGAAATTTATATAGAAAATATATACTTTTAACAGTGTCCGCCCCCGAAAATTTCAAGGAGAAAAAAGTTTGGAAGAAACACTGTTGATGGTTCCCAAAAGGCTTTAATTTTTACAAATGTAACTTTAAAATTCTCGCGAGCCATATTTGTAATATGATTTTTTGTTCAAAAATTTAGTATGATTACATAGACTTTTCCTGCCTATTACTGCATTCACATCAAGTAAACACTATGGGAGATGGGTGGACGGGAGACAATCGAAGGCAAATCACGGAGAGGAAATGGCGTTAGGTTAGGCCAGTGGCGTAGCGAGGTCGGGTGTCACCCGGTGCGGCACTTAATGGTGTCACCCCACCCCCCCCAGAGGCGTTGCGACCCTTCCCGGGGACAAACTTTCAATTTTCGATTTGCACACCCCCCCCCCCCCATCAAACTTTTGATTTGCACCGTCCCCCCCCCCCTCAAACTTTCGATTTGCACCCACCCCTCAAATTTTTCTCCATATATATTGCTATTTTTCCCCTTGGTGTCACCCCCTAAATGGTGTCACCCGGTGCGGTCCGCAGCCCCCGCCCCCCCCCCCCCCCCCTCGCTACGCCTCTGGGTTAGGTGAACATTTACTAAAGACGCTGGCAATGGAGACACGTTTTGGAATGGAACCCCCATTGCAAGTGACACAGGGGTCGAGCCAGGAAGACATTGAGACGTATCATGCTGAATGAGGCCGAAGGGATAGGAAGGAATTGGGAACAGATGAAAAGAGTGGTAGGAGACCGAGATGAGTGGAAAGATAGACAGAGGCGCTATGTTCTGGAAGAAACGAAAGGAGAAATAATGATGATGACGAAGCAGAATCTAGAACTTGCTGTATATAAAGTATAAGTGGTGTACTTTCAATCTGTGCTAACTTGATGTGAATCTATTACCTGCTGTCAATGCAGAGGCGTAGCGAAGTAGGGGAGGGGCGGGGGGGGGGGGGCGGACCGCACCGGGTGACACCATTTAGGGGGTGACACCAAGGCAAAAAATAGTAAAAATATATACAGAAAAATTTGAGGGGGGGGGGGTTCAAGTTGGGGGGGGCGGCAAATCCAAAGCTTGAGAGGGAGGGGGGGTGCAAATCGAAAGTTTGAGGGGGGGGTGTGCAAATCGAAAATTTAAAGTTTGTTCCCGGGAAGAGTCGCTACGCCTCTGGGGGGTGACACCATTAAGTGCCGCACCGGGTGACACCCGACCTCGCTACGCCACTGTGTCAATGTACTAACTTATAGGAAGTGACGTACCTGCTGTGTATGTACTAACATAGAGAAAGTTCTGTTCTCACCGTGGTATCAAGCCCCAGTGTTATCAACATAAAGAAGAAAATGACGGCCCAGAATGATGTGCCGGCTAGAGTTGCCACTGCTTCAGGATACACCACAAAGATAAGGCCGACATCTGTGAGGCAACAGATTATTTAAATATATATAAATATAAAATATAAATATAAATAATATATATATATATATATATATATATATATATATATATATATATATATATATATATATATATATATATATATATATGATTTGGGTTTCTTACGTGTGTGTGTGTGTGTGTGTGTGTGTGAACTGGCTCATCATTATGTCAATAGGGCTGGTAAGTAGGTCACCAACCAGTTACATGGTTCATGCAGGTAGAACTGGTTTGTGACCTACTTACCAACCCTATATGCGCACTTTCTTGTCAATTATCACACCGTTATGACAATTGTTATATGATCACGTCTATTGTGCCACTGTCATGCTTATTGGCCCACCGTCACGTCAACTGGCCCACACCTGTATCCCCACATACCTTGCCTGGCCACTGTCTCCACAGTTCTATGCTGGACATGGGCCATGTACCCCAGCACGGTAAACACGACAAAACCTGCCAGGAAACTTGTCAAGCTGTTGATGGCGGAAGTGATGAGGGCGTCACTGAAAGTAGAAAAACGGAAGTGATGAGGGCGTTACTGAAAGTAGAAAAACGGAAGTGATGAGGGCGTTACTGAAAGTAGAAAAACGGAAGTGATGAGGGCGTCACTGAAAGTAGAAAAACGGAAAAGATGAGGGCGTTACTGAAAGTAGAAAAACTGAAGTAATGAGGGCGTTACTGAAAGTAGAAACACGGAAGTGATGAGGGCGTTACTGAAAGTAGGAAAACGGAAGTGGTGAGGGCGTCACTGAAAGTAAAAAAACGGAAGTGGTGAGGGCGTCACTGAAAGTAGAAAAACGGAAGTTATGAGGGCGTTACTGAAAGTAGAAAAACGGAAGTGGTGAGGGCGTCACTGAAAGTAAAAAAACGGAAGTGGTGAGGGCGTCACTGAAAGTAGAAAAACGGAAGTTATGAGGGCGTTACTGAAAGTAGAAAAACGGAAGTCATGAGGGCGTTACTGAAAGTAGAAAAACGGAAGTGATGAGGGCGTCACTGAAAGTAGAAAAACGGAAGTTATGAGGGCGTTACTGAAAGTAGAAAAACGGAAGTCATGAGGGCGTTACTGAAAGTAGAAAAACGGAAGTGATGAGGGCGTTACTGAAAGTAGAAAAACGGAAGTGGTGAGGGCGTCACTGAAAGTAAAAAAACGTAAGTGGTGAGGGCGTTACTGAAAGTAGAAAAACGGAAGTGATGAGGGCGTCACTGAAAGTAGAAAAACGGAAGTGATGAGGGCGTCACTGAAAGTAGAAAAACGGATGTAATGAGGGCGTCACTGAAAGTAGAAAAACGGAAGTGATGATAGCGTTACTGAAAGTAGAAAAAAACGGAAGTGATGATAGCGTCACTGAAAGTAGAAAAACGGAAGAAATGAGGGTGTTACTGAAAGTAGAAAAAAGGAAGTGATAAGAGGGTCAACATGAAACGAAAACTGAGTTTCAATCTAATATACAAAATATCATATGCATTATATTTAAATGATGTAATTAAATTATTAAAATTGTGTATTTTCATTGTATAATTTTACCTAGTATGAAATGGAAAAGAAAAATCTTACTGGTAACAATTGTTGTTGAATTTATTGTAACTGGACAAGGCAAGCAGGACACCAAAACCCGGACCCAGCGAGAAGAAGATTTGAGCAGCTGCAGCAATCCAGATCTGAGGGAAGAAATCATTTGACGAGTCACCACAGTCAGTGGTAGTTAAGTTCACACCGTAGTCAGTGGTAGTTAAGTTCACACGGTAGTCAGTGGTAGATAAGTTCACACGGTAGTAGAGACAACAGTCAGGGGTAGTTAAGTTCACACGGTAGTCAGTGGTAGTTAAGTTCACAGGCTAGTAGACACAACAGTCAGTGGTAGTTAAGTTCACACGGTAGTCAGTGGTAGTTAAGTTCACACGGTAGTCAGTGGTAGTTAAGTTCACAGGCTAGTAGACACAACAGTCAGTGGTAGTTAAGTTCACACGGTAGTCAGTGGTAGTTAAGTTCACATGGTAGTCAGTGGAAGTTAAGTTCACACAGTAGTAGACACAACAGTCAGTGGTAGTTAAGTTCACAGGCTAGTAGACACAACAGTCATTGGTAGTTAGGTTCACAGGCTAGTAGACACAACAGTCAGTAGTAGTTAAGTTCACAGGCTAGTAGACACAACAGTCAGTGGTAGTTAAGTTCACACGGTAGTAGACACAAGTCAGTGGTAGTTAAGTTCACACGGCAGTAGACACAAGTCAGTGGTAGTTAGGTTCACACGGTAGTAGACACAACAGTCAGTGGTAGTTAGGTTCACAGGCTAGTAGACACAACAGTCAGTGGTAGTTAGGTTCACAGGCTAGTAGACACAACAGTCAGTGGTAGTTAGGTTCACACGGTAGTCAGTGGTAGTTAGGTTCACACGGTAGTCAGTGGTAGTTAAGTTCACACGGTAGTAGACACAACAGTCAGTGGTAGTTAAGTTCACACGGTAGTAGACACAACAGTCAGTGGTAGTTAAGTTCACAGGCTAGTAGACACAAGTCAGTGGTAGTTAAGTTCACACGGTAGTAGACACAACAGTCAGTGGTAGTTAAGTTCACAGGCTAGTAGACACAAGTCAGTGGTAGTTAAGTTCACACGGTAGTAGACACAACAGTCAGTGGTAGTTAAGTTCACAGGCTAGTAGACACAACAGTCAGTGGTAGTTAAGTTCACACGGTAGTAGACACAACAGTCAGTGGTAGTTAAGTTCACAGGCTAGTAGACACAACAGTCAGTGGTAGTTAAGTTCACAGGCTAGTAGACACAAGTCAGTGGTAGTTAAGTTCACACGGTAGTAGACACAACAGTCAGTGGTAGTTAAGTTCACACGGTAGTCAGTGGTAGTTAAGTTCACACGGTGGTACACTGTAGGTTCACTTTACTGATAAATAGAAGAGCTTATAATATTGGGAATTAAGTAATTGACTGTATACTGAAGCTTAACTTATAACTAATCTCATGAGCTTATTCCACTGAGGAGTGAGGTAGTATACTTATAATGGAGCTTATCTTACATATAAGGTCAGGACCATATCACATTCACATTATAGACTAAGATAGTATAATGGAGTTTAACTTAGTCTATCAGGTTATGAGCTGAGATAGTATTCTGGGGCTAAGCTTACATCTAAGCTGAATCATATCACGTTATCGACTAAGATCGTATACTTCAGCTTAGCTTACATCTGAGCTCAATAGCTTATTATGTTACGGACTAAGAAAGTATAATGGAGCTTAACTTTCATCTAAGCTAAAGAGCTTATCCCTCTGATAACTAGGTTAGTAGACTGTATAATGGAGCTTAAATTACAGTCAAACTCAAGAGCTTATCACGTTATGAACTTAGATAGTGTAATGGAGCTTAACTTAATCTAAGCTCAAGATCTTATCATATTATGGACTAAGATAATTTAATGGAGCCTAACTTACTCTAAACTCAGAACCTATCCAACTAATGACTTATTTAGTAGACTTATAATGGAGCCAAACTTACATCTAAGCTCAGGAGCTTATCCCACTGAGGACTGAGGTAGTATATGATGCCATCAAGCGACCCAGGCAGGGTACAGCCCTTACAGAGCAGAATCAGCAGGACGGCGTATGGGAAGGTGGCTGTGATCCACACTGCCTGCAGACGTAGGTGTTGGGCGGATTAATGCATGACGATACAACAGTTGTCGAGTCTTCATTAAGTTAACATGTCGAGAAATAACTTTATCGATAAGTGAAGTTGTCAATAACTGAATGTTTAAATATGACAATACGTAAATTTAAGAAAACTTGTCAATAAGTAAAGTTGTCAATAAGAAAACTTGTCGATAAGAAAACTTGTCTATAAGAATACTTGTCAATAAGAAACCTGGTCAATAAGAAAACGTATCAGTCAGTAAACTCGTCGATGAGGAAACTTGTCAATAAATAAACATGTCGATAGGTAAATAAACTTGTAAAAAAATAAACATTTTAATGTGTAAACTTGCCATTGGGTAAACATGTCAATACGTAAACATGTCGATTGGTAAACTTGTCAAGCAATAAACATTTTTATGTGTAAACTTGCCGTTGGGTAAACTTGTCAATAAGTAAACTTGTCGATAAAAAATATTTGTCAATAAGTAAACTTGTAAGTAATTAAACTTGTCAATAAGTAAACTAGCAAATAAGAAAAATTGTCAATAAGAAAAAGTATCAATAGTAAATTTGTCAATGAGAAAATGCTTCAATAAGTAAACTTATCAATATCAATAACTTATTAATGAGTAAAGTTAATTAACAATAAGTAAACTTGTCAATATCAATAACTTATCAATAAGTAAACTTGACAATATGTAAAATTGTCGACACGTGAAATTGTCGATGCTATAATCTGTCACTACGTGAAGTTGTCAACAAATAAAAAAGTCACTGTGTAAAAATGACAATAAGCGAACTTGTCAATAATTGACAAATCAACAAGCCAAGCTGTCGACACTTGTCAAGACAGCATATCCAACCGGAGTCACGTCAACATGAAACCCCAACCCAAATTTCACAAACCTCATGATGAGTAGTTCTACTCAGATAGAGGTTAACGTTAAGTACATTTCTATTATATAACAAGCCAAAACCTTTCTCAGTTAACTTAGATCTTGCTTTAATCCTAACCTCTATCTCAGAACAGACAATAAATACTGACACTATACATAATAAAAAATGATCCAAATTGAAATCAACCTGATGAATTGCTTTTTGTTGTACCTTGCATGAAATAGTAGATATAGAAATAACTTTTCAAATAGATAGTAATAGCTATATCTACCTAGTATCAGGCAGTATCAGGGGAAGTGTTTCTTTCAGGCAACCCCCTCCCCCCTTAAACGAAATAGAATTAATATTGAAAATATATACTTTTAACAGTGTCCGCCCCTGCGGAAAATCTAGTCCGCTCCCCAAAGTGCCCCTTCCAAGGCGAAAAAAAGTCTGAAAGAAACACTGATCAGGGGGGTTGTAGGCTGTCCACCAAAAATTATAAAACTCCTCAACTATACACATACCACTAAAAATTACAAGCCTTTATTAATAGTTGTAAAAAAAAAAACCTTACTTTCCCGGAACTTTTAATTCCTTTCCACAAAGCGAAGTAAACGAGGAAAAAAACGCCAAACAGGCAGAGGGCGAGAGTTATTTTTATCCCACCAACTCGCGAGATGCCGTCTGCGTGTTGGAGCTCCAGAACGCTGCGTCTGGAATTTTCCGTTGGGAAACAGAACTTAATTACAATTATTCATTAAAAATTATAATTTATGCATTATAAATTATAATTATTCATTATATATTAAAATTATTAATTAAAAATTATAATTATTCGATATAAATTATATTCAATATAAATTATAATTGTTCGATAAAAATTATAATTATCCATTATAAATTATAATTGTTCGATAAACATTATAATTATCCATTATAAATTATAATTGTGCATTATAAATTAAAATTATTCATTATAAATTATAATTATTCATTATAAACTATATATTCATTATAAACTATAATTATTCATTATACATTATAATTATTCAACATAAATTATAATTATTCATAATAAATTACAATTAATTATTATAAATTATAATTATTCAATATAAGTTTTAATTATTCTATATAAATTGTACTTATTTATTATAAATACGTTGAAGAGCCTAGTACTTAAAGTACTCAAATCTCATTGTTGTGACAATGAAACCAAGCACTGATCGTTATTCCACCAGTTTCCATCTATCTTATATGCAAAGATTAATCATCATCATCTTTAACCAAGATACATGGGGCAGATGAAGTAGAGTTTGTCTGTTTCAATTACCTCGGCGTACAAGGGGATATTGTGGTCGGCACTACCCAGCCGCCTTTGTTTCCCTACCTCAGGGACGGTCTACTGACTTGAACCTGGATATGAACTCGTGACTTTCGGGTTAGCAGTCTAGCGCTCTACCGCTAGGCCACACTGTGGTGGCGTAGATGCAGGTGTAGGATAGACAGTGTACGTGTAGATGCAGGTGTAGGATAGACAGTGTACGTGTAGATGCAGGTGTAGGATAGACAGTGTACGTGACGGAGACGATCGACGAAGCACGGGTTAGAATTAGATTGTAATTACGGGCGACATCATTGTGGGGGTAGGTGTAGCAGACACGTATCTAGTTAGCCTGGGTGACCGTAATGGGGATAGTTTATTAGCAGGGTCTGACATTTTAATCAGGTACGACAGAACTGTGGTGACATGCAAATTAGGTTAGACCGGATGGGGAAGACAAAGAAGTGAGGACGATGAGGGTTAGGAGACAGTTGAATCTGGCAGTCGAGGTTGAGACCATTGTAGTGAGAGGACGGATTCAAGTGTAGAGTTAGGGAACAGTGTAGGGACAATAGTGTAGGAAACCTTGACCAGTAGGTGTAGGCAACAAATATATATTGTGTGAAGCATCGGATGTATAACAAGTAAAATATTGTGAATCAAACTGATATTCGAGTTGGCTTATTTACTGTACGGATATGAGAGTTCTCGTCCTCGTCACAGTAGTAATTATATGTGGAAACTAGTAGAAAGATAACAAGAAGAATAGAGAAAGCAAGCAATTTCCCCCCCACCACACACACCGTCCCATACAAATATTAATAATCACTTCAGTGCCTCTTACAAACAAACAAATGTCATGCTTTTTGGCCTATTCATATTTTTCAGCTCATTCATCTCAACATGTTTTGTGTGTGAATTAAATACTTTCAGCACTAAGGTCTTCAATTGATGAGTATATTTACTATACATAGTATATGCGAATTGTATGAGTGCATGGGTGTATTTGCTCAGATAAGGACGCGAACATATGTTTGTGAAGTGCTCATCTATATCGTATTCAGAGGCGTATGCAGGTTTTCGTGTCATATATATATATATATATATATATATATATATATATATATATATATATATATATATATATATATATATATATATATATATATATATATATATATATATATATATATTAGCTGTATGTCATTGCTTCGCTACGGTGTATAACACACAGAGGCGTATCCAGGTTTTCGTTGTAGGGGGAGCGAAAAGAGCAAAAAAAGGCGCCGAATTTTTAACACGTTCTATATACATAGTAATAGATATGGGTTAGATCACTGTATTGATCACACAACTTTTTACTGGTAATTGCAAAAACAATATTCACAGAGTTTTACGTTTAAAAAGTTAATTTTTTTTTGCGGCATGGTACTTTGGTACATCATTACGCGTTTATCTACATGTACTTAACAGATCAATTCGGGGTGGGTTGGGGGGTGGGTGGGTTCAACTTCATTCACCACTGTCCGGTCACTTTAGGTCAATTATCCAACCCAGTGTATACCTAGGTGTGACATTAATGTCGCTCTACACAATTGTGATGGTGAGGTGTGTGGGGGGGGGGGGGAGATAACCAACTCAGAATGAACATAGCGTCAGTTTTTAGATGACTGTTCTAAACATACATATATATTACACAAATATATATTACAGAAATAGATTTAAATAAGTAGCAGTTAGTATTATGAAAATATTTTTTACAGAGGGGGTCCATGGGGGAGGGCGGTTGTAACTGTTTCATATAATTTGTAATCGTATCACTATCGCCCTAACTGTACGAATACTACTACTTCATCGTGATGACGTTGCTGACCTTCTCAAAATGTCCACACCACTACGCAGTTTGTTCATAAGTAAATTTAAATAGAGGTGCCACATCAGTTGTATTTGTTTCTGTATTGTAATTTTTTAAAATTAATCACACGATTCAAAATGTATATATAAAGTAATTATGTGTGAAGTTTTATGTATAACATTTTCTAATTCAATTATTCGTAAGAAAATACATTATACAGTTGCCTTAAACTTAACACCCCTCTTGCCAAGTGGTACTACCGTAGAGGTTTTTTAAACATTGCAATGCATCGTAATGGTTATTTATTTTTAGAATGGCAAACTGATGCAGCTGTTTATACGTGTTGTAAACGTAGACACTACTAGACTAGTACAATAATGCTTAATTGCTGCATGAAAAGAAATCTTGTGATTTACATAGATGTGCCGACCAAAAATATTTTTTAACAAATATCATTGCTTTGAGTTTAAAAAGTTTCCAAAAAGGTGCCACTTTGCTGAAAATGGCCAGAAGGGGAGCGGCCGCTCCCCCTGCTCTCCCCCCCCCCCCCCCCCCTGCGTACGCTACTGATAACACATTCAAAAAGTATTCTTTGAAGTATTCTTTGAAGAAAACACAGTGGTGTTTCTTAATCCTTATAAAAAAACAATTTGACACAATATTAATACTAATAGTTTCGCTGTCTGTGTATCTGACAAGAACGCTCTGTCTGACAAGAACGCTCTAGAGAAAACACAAGCAATTTAAAAACATGCACAGTAATTCGAAAAACGAAATATGACGTCGACACATTTAGCGCACAGAGTAGAAAATAATCTCAAACCCAGAGAGTGCTCAAAGTTATATGACGTCATTGATTTTC